GTCCGATAACTCAATAAAGCCAAGTAAGGATCTTTAGACTTTTTGAATCTTAATTTAATTATCTTCACTGCTGCTTCAACAAAACCGTTGCTTTGAGGATATCTTGGACTTGAAGTAATGTGCTTAAAACCGTATACTTTTGCAAAGTTTTGAAACTCTGCTGTTCTAGTAACTTCAAACTGTGGTCCATTATCTGATCTTACAACATTTGGAATTCCATGTCTGGCAAAAATTGATTTGCAGTGTAAAATTACTTCTTTTGATGTTAAACTATCCAGTTTTGCCACTTCTGGATAACGTGAGTAAAAATCTGTAACTAATAAATACCATTCTGCATGGAGTTTAAATAAGTCCATAGCTACAATTTCCCATGGTCTCTGAGGAAAACTAGTTGGTTTCAAAGGTTCAGAACAGGTTAGACTATAATATGAACATAATGATTCGGTCCATTGTTAAAGTTTTTTTTTCCAATATAATTTAAAAAGTAATATTACTGATATATTTGCTATAAATCACATAACAGTATTTATTAAAAGAAATGAAATATTAATGTATATTCTCAGTAGTTTTAATTTGCTAAACCAGGTAGTTTTTCAAGTAATAATTGTCTCTTATGTGAACTGAGGAAAAATATAATTTCCAACTTTATTTTTTCAATTGGTAATTTTTATTTTCACTAAATGTTAAGTATCAATGTAATCATTTATATAATAATAGATTAGTACACAATTGTATGTCAACACATTATTTATTACCTTAAACTGTCTGGAATTTATTATTAAAGGGTTGTGTTTGCGTAAAATTTACTATTGTGGAAATTCAGCTTTTTTGCCTTTTGGCTAATCTTATCCCTGCATCTAACAATCAATGAACATTCATAATAAATATTGTAAAATTAAAAAGTAACATTAAAAAAACCTGTACTACCCTTAATGTCAGAATTTTGGTTAACTTTTTTTCCTTTGTATTTAAAATATAACAACCGATTGAGTAGAGAGAATCATTTTAAGTAAGAAAGAAACATTCATGCGAATCTTGAAAAAGTTCTTGAATCAGATTAAATAAGTCTCCTACTGGTGGCTGATTCAGCCAATCTGGTATACTTCCCATACAAGCAATCATCGAAGCTACCCTCCTTAAAATGCCCTCTTCTTGTTTCCATAGCACCAGACTGCTGCAGACTTTGTGGCGGTCAGAGTACCTATCGTAGACAAACAGTACCTGGAGGGAGAGTCACTTTCAGTCAAGCAAGAAAAAATGAAGAGAACCCAATCAGCATGCCACACCTTCATGCTTGATTGATAGCCAATGATGGGGAGAAAGTAAGAATTTATCACTTCCAGGCCCTCAACTTAATGAATGACAGGAATTTCCACTTCTTGCTTGAATCCTTCTAGTTCAAAATGGTGGAGAGAGAAATTAATATTTTCATAACAGTCAAATTTTTTTTCCTTTTCTGTAATTTAAGCAATAATTTTGTTTTCTAATATTTTGTTTTTGATTGATTAGATATCATTCTAATACTAAGACATTATTGCCCGAAAAATAATGTTTATTTCTTGCTTCTTAGATTCAGATCGTTTATTACAGTGTTCCCCAACCTCCGGTCTGTGGATCAAATGGTACCGGGCTGCCCATTTCTTTGAAACTAAATTTAAATTCCTAGGTTTATAGCTCGAATTAAAAATATCTATGTTCCATTAAAATTTTATTTATTTAAAAAAAAGAGGCCCCCCGAAGGTAGTGACATAAATTTTTTAATGTTTGTAATGTATCATTGTCACCGATTACCCCCAGATGAAACTGTCTTATTGCAAAGAAACAAGCTCAGGATTCTCATTGATTTAATGTTCTAGTAAGTTAAAATGTTAAATCCCTTTACATTTATTTTTTAGTGTAACTGTATTTTATTTTGAAGGCATCTTTAAATACAATGAAATGAAAATTAATAAATCAAAATAATCTATAATATAAGCAATCAACGTCCCCCCACCCAACGGGCCGCGGTAAAATGATCAAATATTGACAGGTCCGTGGTGATAAAAAGGTTGGGGAAAACTGGTTTATTATCTCGTTTTAAGCTTTGTTTACTTTGGGGATCTATTATACGGAAAAATCTAATATCCAGACTTCCTGAAGTCCCACCGATTCCGGATACGCAACTTTCCACTGTAATAACAATGGTGGTCAAGTGAAACATCAAATGATTTTCTTGGAAACATTTCAAAGGAAAGAAATCTGGTTCACAGCAATTGCAAATGTAAATAATACATGGTACTCTTTCTTTAGGTGTTAGGCTCGATCATTCATCAAACAACTACAACAAATTTAAGTACAATATGCAGATTCTTTTACATCCATTGAATGCTTTTGATCACTTTTACCTCAAGGAAAAAATTCTCAGAAAGTTTTTTTTTTTTTTTTTTTTACATTCTATTTCAAGGAAAGAGGGAACCTTATCATATGACTACAAAATAAAATTTTATATTTTTACAGTACTTTCTGTACACTTTCTCTTTAGCTTACTTTTCATTTAAATAAGTTTGAAAAAGAATGATTTTAAAACATCTTGAAGGAGCGTGTCCTACATTCAGGACTACCTTGACCATGGAGACCTAGGGACTACGTTCTGACTTTTGTGCAATTACGACCCTGAGTTTCAGTTTTCTACTAACATTTAACTAGGTTTTATTCACAAGTTAAAATACAGAGTAAATATCTTATACCACATTTGAAGTTTTTATTTTATTTACTATTTATTTTATTTATTTCTTTTTTTGCAGATTAACAATACCTCTTCTTTTCAGCCCTTTTGTCCTCAAAATGTGTTAATTAATGTGTCTCTGTTGTTGTGTGAAATGTGTCTCTGAGTTTTGCATACATGACTTTCTTTATTTTTTTAGTGTCTTTGGATAATATAGTTGCTTCTGGAAAGAAAACTAAGAAGCTGCCTAATTATTTTATTGCTGTTCAAGTAACTGATCAACAGGTAATTTCAGAATTATATGTTTTTATTTTTTACTTATTTATATATTTTTTATAACTGCAGTGTTGAGAAAAATGCTGATAGAAAAAAGCTAGTTTTGCTTTTCACATACTAAAAGAAACTTGGAAATAAAATCAGTTTGTATCTCTTTTCATGATCTATAAGACCTTTGCAGTTTAGTTAATTTAAAACACTTGACTTAAAAATAATATCCTCTTCATAATTTTTTACCGTAATTTTCAAGACTAAATTAAAGATTTAGTATTTCTATTACTCAGTTTAAAAATATTGTTATAGCATAAATATTGTTTCAATAAAAGAATTTTTTTAAATTTTTTTTTTTACAATGAATTTTAAGTGCACAATGCAAGAAATTTGTGGAGGAAGGCTCTATTCTGGCTTCATTTTTGAAAAATAAATGACAATGTTCGAAAGTCTCTCAGTGGCAACATAAAATGGTAAGAGTATGAATCTTATGACATTAATTTTTAAAAATCTGGATTTTAAATTTACTCTAGCAGTCAAATTTTGTTGAATTTGAAGTCTTGAGTAAATTTAGTCCAAATTTCAGAAAACTAATTTTATTTATTTAGTTTTAATTTACTAATTAATTTTATTTTATTTAGTTATTTATTTTTTTTGTTGAAAATTTTCATCTTTGTAAAATTCGAATTAAAGGTCAAAATTTCTAAAAAAAATATTTTTGTTTTGATAGAAACCTTGATATAGAACATTTCAAACTCTAGACTTCAAAGTTAAAATGTTTAAATATATATATATATATACACAGTGGAACCCCTATTTTACATTGTCCGTTTTGTATGTTATCCCGCTTCTTACGTCATTTTCTGCTGATCCGTGAAATTTACCTATGTTAAAAAATCCCGGATTTTGCTTTACGCCTTTTATGAAAATCCCGCTTGATGCGTTTTTCTACAAACAGATCAAAATAATTTTTTTATTCAATAATTCTCAGACAAACTTTTTTCTAGTTTTTTGAAAAAGAGAAACTTCTTTTTCAGCTGTATGGAGCAGTTCTTGCATTCTTTCTGTTCCGTTTTGTCCATTTGTCAATAGGGGAGGGGTGAAGTTTCCTCTCAGTCACTATCGGAAGGGTGGGGGAAGACACAATTCACTGGAACCACAAATGATGGAAGTCTGACATCTACGCCTACTCTTCTCCCCCGCTCCCTATCAACAAAAGAGAAAAAGGGGGGATTAGAGAGACAACTGTCAGTAATGATCGAGTTTCACATGTACTCCAGACGTCTTACTGACGCTGTTTATTTGTGATACGAAGATAAGTCACTTTGAATAGAGAGGTGTGGTCGTTTCTTCAATTCTCCTCCTTGAGAAATGGTTTCACCCTTTTTTCTGTGCTAGCATACCAAATGAGATTTTCAGTCGGTTTTGTTTGAGTTTGAAAGCTATAGCATTTCTTCTTACTTTCGAAACCTCAGTCATCGTGTTCTTTTCTCGGAAGAAGATGTCGAAACGAAAATGCTTTTCTCTGGCCGAAAAGGCTGGAATCGTCGAAAAAGCTAAAGAATTTCATGGCACGAAAGTTGATCTTGCTAAATCTTTGGGTATTGCTTATTCAACTTTACAAACGATTTTAAAGCAAGAAACTTCAGTAGAACTAAACGCTGAAAAACTCGGAAAATATGCCAAGAAGAGATAAACCCTTAAAACATCTCCGTATGATGAGTTAGAAAAAATTTTAATGAACTGGTTCAAGGAAGCCAGAGCAGCAAAGATTCCTATAAATGGATCCATCCTGAGAGAAAAGGCGCTTAATTGCTGAAAGGCTTAAACTCCAAGGCTTCAGTGCATCAAATGGCTGGATCGATCGATTCAAGAAAAGGAACAATTTATGCTTCAAATCTATCTGTGGCGAATCCGATAGTGTGGATATGACAACTGTGCAACAGTGGAAAGAAGAAACTCTGCCAAATTTATTAAAGGGCTATAATCCAAGTGACATATTTAATGCAGACGAGACAGGATTGTTTTTCAACCTATTGCCAAACAAGACTTTAACAATTAAAGGTGAAAATTGCCATGGAGGAAAGCTTTCAAAAATGCGCTTGACTGTTTTTGTGGAAATAAGTAGTTTCCAGTTATAAACTTTAGTGTTATAGTTTTTTTTTTTTCAGATTCGTTTCCAGGAAGGAAGTGAAGGGAATTCAAGAAACAAGCATTCAATCAATGTGACGTACGAAATCGTTATCTATAAAAGAACGAACAATTTCTTTCATGCCGGTGGAGAGGGATGAGCAGCCCACTCATCTTTTAAGTCTTTGGCCGATTGTATGAGATTGTAGATGATGATCCCTTATATATTTGTATATTCAATTAGAATTTTAGATTTAAGTTAAACATTGAAAGTAATAATAAATGTGTTCCAGTTTATTTGTGTACTTCATGATTTTTAGCATACTGTACTTTGTGAGTTAAATCCACAGTTTTGCTCTGTGCAAATGTCGATGGAAGCCAAAAGTTAACGCCTCTAGTGATCGGTAGAGCAGAGAAACCACGGTGTTTCAAAAATATCAAGAGTTTTCCTACCGATTATGCTTCAAACAAAAAAGCATAAATGACACAAGCATTATTTGAAAATTTTCTTCGAAAACTGGATAAGAAAATGAGTTTTCAAAAGCGCAACATAATTTTATTCCTAGACCAATGCACTGCTCATTTAAACCTTAAATTGAAAAACGTGCGAATAGAGTTTTTTCCAGCTAACTGTACGAGCAAACTTCAACCACTGGATTTAGGAATTATCCGATCATTTAAAGAGAGTTACCGGGAGCAACTGGTTAGAAAATCTCTAATGTTTCTTGGTTCTGGTGATTTTCATGATGCTTATAAGGCAAATATTAATGTTCTTGAGGCTCTTAATTTGATATCTTCAGCTTGGGACAGTGTCGACCGGAAGTGCATTATCAATGGATTTAATAAAGCAGGATTTTCAATATCGGAGGAGGAGGGCGCTGTTGCTTTAGAAGAAGAAAGTTGCGTGTCTGAAGTTGATCTTCCGGAAGTCGATGATGCATACATCGACTGTGGCACAGATCTCATTACTTCAGAAATCCCTTCGATAAGTCATTTAATGCCTGATTCCGATGATAGTGCTGATGAGGATGAAGATGAAATAACAGAAGACGTGCCAACGGCTGATCAAGCGACACAAAGCATTAAAACTCTAAAACAATTTTTACTTGCAAATGTAAATCAAGAAGCAAATTTGCAAAAAATTGTTAGTATTGAACGAGCTGTAAATGAAAGTGTAGCTAAAAACAAATAGCAAGTAAAGATTACTCATTTTTTCCATTAATTTAACTGGTAGGTGTAAATTTTTAAAAATATGCATAGATTTTTCTTAACCCGAATTTTACGATATTCCGCTTCGAGCGTTTTTTATCGCTAGTCCGACCAAAAACGTAAAGTCGGGGTTTCACAAGTACATATATATATATATATATACATATTTATATTTAGAAATCTTGATTTCAAATTTTTCAGACTCCAGGCTTCAAATCCTTCTGAGTTAAAAAAAAGTTTTTCAAAGAAAAAAAATTCTTTTTCTAAATTTCTACAAGGTTAATAATTTTTTTTTCTTTTTAGAAATATAGACTGAATTTTTCAGACTCTAGACTTCAAATCTTACAAAGCTGAAAATTTAAAAAAAAAAAAAAATTGGTATTTTTTAGAAATCTGGTACAGGTGATTGGACACCAAATACATGGTTGTTTAAATCCAGTCGCTCATCCATTACACACTTCTCCAACTTTGAATATCTATTAGAAAGACTATGGAATCAAAAATGTTGGCAAAATCCATGCATGGATGATGCAGTCATTCTTTGTTGCCCTGCGAGCTTTGAGTGTGATTATTTTTAAAAAGAATCGAGTCTTTTGACAGGACCATTTTCTGTACACACGATCAGGATTCAATGCAGACAGAAAAAAAATTTTCCAATGGAATCCTTTTCCCACTAGGTAATTTCAGCCCCGTCAGTTCACTGCACACATCAATCTTTTCAACTTTTCATGATGATGTGATATCTTGAGGCTCAGAGCTGTCTGATGACAGGCACAGAAATGATCAGGCTTGTATACACGTCATTTGAACAGGTCGTGTGAATTATTATTTTTTTTTTTTAAGATTTAACATTATAAACTTGAATTTTTTTCAGTAACACTTAATTGAATCAGAATTGAAAAATGGAACAATTTTCAACTTGTTTTGTAGCTTTTTAAGTTATTTATTTTTTTAAAACTTTTTCCAGGGTCTTTCAATTTCTAAGACCAAAAGATTTAATTTTGTAATTCCAGAGTCTAAATTTTGAAGTCTAAAGTTGGAAATATTCAAGAGTCCATATTTCCATTAAAAAAAAAAGTCCAGTATCCACTTTTTAAAAGTTCTAAGTCCAGACTTCTAACAAATTATTATTATTATTTAACTTTGTTGAATTTGAAGTCTAGAGTATGACAAATTCTGGGCTCCCTTGATAAATATTCCTCTGTCCACTTCCACAGTCACAGCATAATGAAATTTCACAATTACTGTCCAGATTTCAAATAAAAAAAAATTTCGAAAAATTAGGCATCTAGAGTTCAAAAAATTGTAAGTCCAGGATTCCACTAAAAGTGGCTATTTCAGGGAGTTTTAAAAAACTATTGATTGTCGTCAAATGTTTCTTCTTTTTTTAAATTTTATGAATAATATAAGTATCTGTCTTTGTGTAAGCTCTTTGATATGACTATGTGTCATTGAAATGTGAGATTGATTTTTATCTATGAGTTTGTATCTGAATATAAGTTATGCTTACAGATAAAATACTTTTCTAAATGTAAATCTCGTTTGAAAGTATAGATTCTCCATTTATTTTTTGTTTTTACCCTTAGGTTCATTATTCCGTCAAACTTATTCAAGATCATATGCTTTTACAGAATGAACAGCTTACGAAATGTATGATTGCTCGGAGTACTATGCATATTACTCTAATGGTCTTGCATATAAAAGATACTGATGATTATTCTAAGTATAAAATTATTTTACCTTTTTTTGGCATATTTTTTATTGCATTTTGATTTTGAATTACCTTTCAGAAGTTAGCTATTTAAAAACCAACATATATATAAGTTTGAACCGTAATGTTGAAAGAAGAAATTTTATTCTAATTAATTCTATGTTTATAAGATAGTGTTATGTAACTTTTAATTTATAAACAAATGTATTTGAAAAACATGTATATGCTTGTTTGAAGTATCGTAAAATATTATTTTTGATAACCTTGCTTTGCTAAAAATTACAATCAATCTCTTGCTTTTACCGAGGTATTTTTTTGTTATAATACTCAGTGGTATTTTCACAAATCTTAAACTTATATTTGGGGAAAATTAAGAATTTATTCCATAAAATTCATTTTATTTTGCCCTCTTTTTACTCAAAACTTGCAAAGTTTTTAATTTGTTTTTTAATTAGTTTAATTGATTACACATCATATCAGAAATGTCAAGTAAAGGGTTAAAATATATATCTAGCAATTTAGATAAAGAAATGGTGAAAGGTTCACTAAATTTAATATACAATTAATTTAAAATTCAGGGTTAGGCATTTTGCTTATTAAAAGGGGATTTTGCCATTACATTGGCAAAAATTGGTTGAAACCAGCAAAAGCTAATTAACTGAAAATTACTGATTGATTACATATTGTAACATAATACTTATATATTTAAATCTATTATAGGAATATCTGATTTTAATACATAATCTAAACATGAAAAATAAATTTTAAGTACAGTAGAGAACCAATTATCCGGGATGCTTGGGACCATCGCTATCCCGGATGTCTGAATTTCCCAGTTTTCTGGTTTGACCAAAAAGTGTCGTTAAACGATGTTTTATCGAACCCGAATTACAAGGAAAAAGTGTAACACATTTTAAAGTAAGAGAAAAAGAAAAGCACTCCTAAATTTAAAAAAAAAAAAAAATTTTAAAAATATGGTAGAAAAATAACATTTAAAAGAATAAAAAAAATTTTAATTTTAGACAAGAAAAACAAGTTTGAAAAATATAAAATTCTCATACTTATTTTTTAAAAATAATTACAATTCATAAATTAACTAATATGAACAAAACCAATGATTAAATAACACAGTATATTTCATACCTAATTATAAGGGGGGACCAATAAAATAAAAGGAAAACTTATTAATCTAAATAAAAACAACACTTGAAAATTATCGTACTGAAACGATAGTTAAAAAAGGCACTAGCATAAATATTAAAACCCGGAACAAGGCACGAACAATGGAATTAAAAAAAAAAACACAAGATAAAATTTATGAATAATTTATTGAGTGCGAAATTTATCGTGAAAGGAAAGAAAAAAAAACGTAGTAGAATCAGAAAAACAAAACTGCAATCTGCTTCATAAAATAATCGTATGTTTAAATTAATAAACAATTTTCCCTTTATTTTTTTTATGAAAACACGATTTTTAATTAAAACAGGTGTGATTCCACATCAAGAAAAACTTGCAAATGATACTGCACTTCCAAAGAATCAGAATTTATTAAAACGAAAAAGATTTTATTTTTATTAAGCGATGACAAATAGATAAATATATTTTTCTCTTTCATCTTCTGTTCACTGATATGCATGTGCAATGCATTTTCCCCACCCCCTCGTAAATCAAAAAGAAAACGAAATCAGCATGCCACTCCTTTGAGTTTGATTGACGGCCTAAAGGAGAAAATAAAATATTCCTCCCTTCCCTGCCTCCTCTCGATCTTCAAGGTCACGGAAGAAATTATGTTTCTCTGGGTAAATGGGGAAAATAATTCTCCCCTTCCTCACATTTTCCTCTGCTCAACTTCAAGGATGAGTCCAATTTCAGCTTTTTTTCATAATCGTTCTAGTTTAAAATGGCGGGAAAATCGAGCAAAATTTTTCCTGTTATTTGGATACCTGATAAATGGTTCTCTACTGTATTTCTATTAATTGTTAATATGTATATATATTAAAAATTAGTGCAAAAAAATTTTTTTTTCATTTGTCTTCTCTAAAATTTGAAATAGACTGTTGCAATTATTATATTAAGAGTGGTAAGTTTAGTTTACTTTAACGAGCCAGACCTATTTTCAGTATTTGATTATGTGAGAGAATAAAAAAGTTAGTTGTGTTTTATGAATTACATGTATATATGTTGTCTTGTAACATATTAATTAAAAGAAAATAATTAAAAACCTGCTCAAGAAAAGTTTAATTTGACTAAGTCTCCTGTTCTATAATTAAGATGATTAAACAATTAATAGAGTAAAGTTTAAACTCAAATAGTTAAAAGGTAACAATACTCCTTTCAGACTTACAATAAATCATAGTTCCAAGCTTATCTTTTACTCTGCAATATTGAGACAACAAAAATTTTAGGTGATGATAAAATAAGTGTACCTATTTGTAAGTTAATTTTGTGCATTTATTGTACCTTTAAAGTATTAAAAATTTGAAAACTGAATTTTAACATTTGTTTATTTTAGGGGATTTCCGTACTTACTGATATGTACAGAACTGATACTTTCCTTTTATATTAAAAGATGATTAAATGGTTAATAGTAAAGTTTAAACTTAAATAGTTAAAAGATTATCAATGACTATAAAGGTAAGCTTATCTTCCAAGCTTATCTTTTATTCTGCAATATTGAGATGACAAAAACTTTATGCAATGATAAAATAAGTATGTTTGAAAGTTAAATTTGTACATTTATTGTATTTTTAAAATATTAAAAATCTAAAAACTCAAATTTAACATTTGTTTATTTTAGAGAATTTTTGTATTTTCTGATAACTTCATATTTTGGAATGATTAAATTTTTAAATTTGAACTTTTTTTTAATTAGAAATAATGTTATTTTTCAAGAAGAAATTGAATTTCACCATTTTTGCTCTAATTTCATAAAAAAAAAGCTTAATTTTACCAGGATGATTTCTACCACAGTTTTTCCCATCCTTTGCAAAAACTTGCCTATCGTGCTAAAAGTACATAATGATGATTTGACAAAGAAAGAAAAAAAATGTTCAGACTGGTTAAAGAAGCAAAAGTAACAGGCTTGCTTTTGAGTAAGTTAGAGCAAGAAAAAAAATCCTTCTACGATAAGAGATCTAAAGCAGTTCCTGAGAGTTGGTAGTGATAACTCCTGTTCTTGTGTGAAACCTGTTAGTTAACAAAGCATACTCCACACACTTCATAGTTAATAAGGGAATAAATGCATAAATCTTACCAAAAAAAATGTAGTCGGATAAGTTAGAAATTAACAAATTCAGATAATATTTGAATATAAAATTCAACTTCTTTTTTTTTTGTTATTTCAGAGCCATTAAAGCACTAAGTGCAGTTTATCAAGAATACAATAGTATTATTAGTAATGAGCCTGTGAGGTTGGAATTCTGTGGTCTTGGCCATTTTCAAAATAGAGTGAGTTACAAGGCATTAATTTCTGATATCTTTTATGTCTTCGAAAGTAGTTTTAAAAAATTAGCACACTCAAAATAAATAAGTAAGTAAAATAAAATAAAAATTTGAGCAAAAGAAATTCTTTTATAATTTTTTAATCCTGAAAGTTCAATTTTCAAGTTCTAATCTCCTTGTAGCTTTTAATTATCTTCTTTATATGCATTGTAGAAACGTATTCTGTTTAATTATATAATGGTTAAATCTAAGTTAAATATAGATAAAAAATATTACATTTGCGATTCCATAGAATTCAATGTTATTCTAACACTTTTTAGGAGTCAAAGGTGGTACTTTTTTGATCAATTAATGGGAAATCAAAATTTTGCTATTTTCAAATCTTGAGCAATGAATTGTTAAAATTTTTGTGCTTTTAATACATTGTAATGCTACTGCAAAATCTGCAAACGACCACCCACACATTTGCACTGCTAGCCTGAAACGTGTTTGTATTAGGTTAATCAGTAAGAATGAACCTTTTGAGGCTGTCATAGTAATTTACCCCATTGTATACCTCCCAATGCAATGAAATTTCTGTAGTTTCAGAAAATATTTTTCATAGTGGCAATAAGGTAATATATTAACATTTTAATAAATTACTATTAAAAGAATTTTGCTCCTCTCTAATATAAACAATTTAAACTGATATATACTCAAATACTGATATACTTTTGCACACTCAAATGTCTGATATGCAAATTTTATGCTCTTAAATTTTGACAAAGCTTTATAGAAATTCTATTTTGTTTTAAAAAATTTTCCTTTAATTCATTTTCTCTGGAAAAATATTTTGCCAGAACCTTAGTAACTACTACTTAATTTTTACTTACTTAATTTTACATAGTGAAATCTCTTTTTGAGAAATGAAAGAGGTTAAAAAAAAAAAGAAAAAAATGCCTGCCAAACTGTTTTGATAATATATTTTGTTTGGAGATATTTTTACTTAAAAAGAACGAAAACTTTACTTCTGTCCTGAAATAAAAATTAATTTTAAGACTTTTTTCATATAAATGAATTTCAGAAAATTGAATTAATGATTTAAAAAAAAAATTGCTGACAGTTTCTTGGGGGGTTAAACCCTAAAAACCTTATCCTGGGTGCACAGCTGCATACTGGAGTTAGAATTTATTGAGTGTGATTGGTGAACTTGCTGCTCTCTATAAAACTTTGAAAATCATGGAATAAAACTTGATTCATCTCTTCAGATTTCTTTTTTGATTTTTGAGTTTAATTTGGATTTTTGAGCAGGATTTGTCTTTTAAAGCAACAAATGCTGAAAACTTTGAATAAAGTTTTAAAGAGAATAACTCTTATAGCTTTTTTACAAAAGACAAAATACTAATATCCTACATCTATTCAAAACTCTGTTTTGAAAATTTTCCTTTTCAATGGCATCAGTTACAGCTATTAAGGGATATTAGACTTGAAATTAACAATTTACGACACTGCAGTGTGCTGCAGCGTACACATTAAATACCCATTTCCTATAAAATTAATAAAGATATTTATTTCTATTTTTTATGAGATTTTTTGTAGAGTTTGATTTTAAAAAATTTTCTTTTTATTTGTATAAAAAGTACATATTGAGTACATTTGACTAATTCATGTAAATTCTGTACCAGGCGAGCTGAGTATTTTTCAAAGATTATCCACTATTATAAGTATAGCATGCAGATTAAGTTGATTAAAATGATAAGTTTTGTCTTGTTTTTATGTGACAGTGCTAAGCATTAATTGTCAGATTATACATTTTTCAAAGAACTGTTTTGTCCTTAAAAAGTATTGTAGTTTATTTTTAGGATTTTTTTATGGGGAGAAAGAATCATGTTTTCTATTCAGTTATCGATTAATTAATGTTACCATTTCTTAGAAGTCATTTGTCAGATTTCAATATCATTCTGTTTTACCTTTTTCTTTCTTTCTTTCTTCCTTTTTTTTGTAATTTCTTGCATAAATATTAATTTGATCCCCAACATAAATAGTTTTTCTTAATTTCTAACAAAGCTTCTAAAAATTATCATGGAGAACTTTTTATATACTTTTTAGTAATTAAAATTATTCCATAAAGAAATTCCTATTCATAATATAGTGAAGCCAGAAACTCCAGGAAAGATATCCTCCATGCAGCGACCTCCTCTATTTATGACCAATTTTGGGAGGCACAGAATTTTTTCCATAAACGCTGTGTTGAAAATAACTCTAGGAGAGACCATCAAAACCTCTCCCAATGACCAGGCAAACCTTTGCACTAAATGAGGAAAAGGTCAAATAGGAAAACAGGAAGAAATTTCAAAGCAAAAAAATATTAACAGAACAAATAAGTAGATTAAAATGTATTCAAAATATTTGTGTGAGGCTGTTATTTAAAGAGCTTTTTATGATGATCTCTGAAAGAGGTCTACAACCTCATGTTACAATCAGAGTGAACTAAAGACGATGCTATCAATGATTTATTTTTAAAGTTGAAAGTTAAATTGGAAAAAAAAAGTTGTTTTAGAAAAACTAAGCATTTGACAACAAACCTTTTCTAATCTTTTGAAGCTGATCTTTATGATATAAAAGTAAATGCAAACTTAAGCAAAAAACATAATAGTTGATAATAAATTTATTTGAAATAGTTCTATTGTTTATAATTGTTAAATTTGTTTTTACACATAATTATATCAGTAGGGGTCATTATCATTCAAACCGAATTTTATTCATTGATCTGGTTTTCATGACACCAACACATGTGGCATTTAAGCACCATGAAAATGACACTGGCTAAAATTAAAATCATTTGTAGAAAATCATGCACTTTCGATAACATTTTAAAGTCAATAGAGGTAGCCCCTAAGAATGACCCACCTCCATTAGTGACCATTTTACTGTGGAAACAAAAGTGGTCTCTCCCGAGAGGTTTCACTGTATTTCATATTTGATGTATGAAAGGAGTTTCCATCTTTACTTTATTATGATAGTTCAAACATCCTCTCTTTTTTTAAAAGGTTTTGTATGTAAAACTGGAAAAAAATAACTCATATCAGCTACTATGTGATCTGGCAAAGAAGGTTTGCATTCATTTAGAGAAAGTTGGACTTTTTTCCACTGATAAGAGAAAAGAATTTACACCTCACTTGACTATTGCCAAACTTGATTTGAAAAAGAAATCTTCAAGGGTAATTATCTTATTTTTTTATTTAAAGTTAAATTAGTACCTTGATTATTGCTTTTAAAAAATAGACCTTCAAGTCTGAAGAAGTTAGGCATAAACAGCAACACTTTTTTAATCCAATGAAGCCAAAATGTTTATCAGTACAGTACTATATATAGTACAGTAATCCTAATGTACCCCCAGAAAACTTAGACAAAAAGAAAACAAATGAACACCCCTCTATTTCTTTCAACTAGCTCATTAAGTGAAGAACACCTACCTATAATTCAGTTACCTTAGTGGTGTATGAGAAAATCCTTGCAATCTTCTGATTCTTCAATTTTTGATAATAGAAGCTCTGTTTTCATTATCAGAAAACACAGTCTTTGCAGAACACCTTTTATTCATCCGAAACTTTTTCAATTTTAAAGTAGTTGTAAGTTATTTCTTCTCCAATTCTGTTGCTACAGAAAATTTATAAATACCGTATTTTTCGGCGAAAGCGCCGCACATCGATAAAATTGAAATTTTAAAAAAAAAAGTTATTGTAAGCGCCGCTCCGGCGCAAGCGCCGCAATGGCGCTAAACCGGGCATATCAGCATCCTTTTAGAAGAGACCTTTAAATTACCATTTAGAATATCTGTATAATNCAAAAGTGCTCCTTTCTCAACAATCTTTCACCAAGAGAAAGGCGGTATATTATTTTTAGTTTAAAATGTACAGAGGAATCTTGTTCATTCATTTAAGAACTTTGATAAATAACTGTCATTACTAAGTATATATTTAATCACAAGTTTGAAAAAATAGAACAGTAATAAACATTTCTTTAGAATATTGCCTTAATTTTCAAATAGATAAGTTTGTCTGTAAACAGTTTTGTCAAACTTAAAAATGAAATATAAATTTCAGATGTGATGCTCAGATGCGATGGCTATGGGAATAGAGTGTTTTCCTTCCAATGAGGTGAACCAGGTTTGAATCCCAGCCATGGCTAGTCTATACGAATTCCGCATCCGGCTTGCACTGACTTGATGACACAAAATATCGTCAGTGGTAGACGGATCATGGGTTAACATCCCTTTGCCGTCAGGCTAACCTGCATTACAAATCTACATAGTTGAAATTACAAATCTACATAGTTGAACATTAGTAGTCGTAAACCTGAAAATTGGGTCAACTGTTCAACAACGGTTATAAAAATTAAAAAAAGTTTTTATAAATATGTTTAAGGTTATTTTAAATTCTAGCGTACATATATTCCACTTTGCTCCAAATTGGAGCATAGGGATTCTGTCATAGCTTTCCCCCTCTCACTATTTGTGGCCAGATATTTTGCCCCTCTCCATGTTTTTCCTGTTGTTTTTAATTCGCTTACAATTTTCCTGTGCCATGTATTTTTAGGTCTTCCTCATTTTCTATTGCCCTGAGGGTTCCAATAAAAAACTTGGTGTACTTAAAATTTTTCAAGTTTACGTAGAGCATGACCAATCCATTTCCATTACGTTATTTTTTTATTTCCTGATCAATCTGTTTCTGTTTTGCTTTTCTAAGGATTTCTGCATTAAAAATTTTATGGAACCACTTGATACGCTATATTCTTGTTAAACAGTTGTTAATAAATACTTGAAGTTTTTCATATTATTTTTATTGCAGTGCCATGCCTCAGATCGATATACTAGGACAGATTTAACATTAGTATTGAAAATTCTAACTTTTGTTGTGTTTTTGTTTTTTTTTAGAATTTATTGCTATTCCAAATTCATTATTACTTTGGGCTTTGTTTAATCTATTTAATATTTCTTCATCAGTTCCTCCTTTGTTGTTAATTATACTTCCAAGATACATAAAACTGCAAACCTATTCTAGACTATTATTTTCTAAGAATATGGCATTTAATTGTTTAGGATTAATTTTCCAAATATTAGTTTTATTTTGTTTGATAATAAACTCTGTTTGTTGTTGCTATTCATCCTCCTGGTGTAAGAAAGCCTACACCAGGTCCAAAGAACCACGTCGCCTTAGAATATTGAAACTCTTCTGCTCAACCAACAGCAGCCTCCAGAAGACTCCTAAGCGATTAGGAAGGTGAGTAGGACTAGCAGGAAAAGAACAGGAGCAAGGAGAAAAAATCTTCCCTATTCTGAAATTTCATGCATTTCAAGTGACCGCTTCTGAACCTTGCCAAGGCCGATTGTAGAGCCTTAGGGCCACTGCATAACAGAGACAGGCCCTGAGTCTTTGTAGATTACCAGTTGAAAGTAAATTACTTTTGTGGAGTGAGTGGATTTCCGAAGGAGTTAGCTCAACAGAGTTGGCGATCGGTAAATCAAAACCATTTCTAGCAACAGTATCTGCAATCTTATTACTGTACTCCCCAACCTGCAAAGTAATGCACTGGAGGCATACTGATTTCCTCAGGCCTAGCTCAGAAAGAAGTACTAGAAAATCCTGGTCAGGTTTATCATATATTTTTGGCCAACGTTTTAGGTATTGGATGGCACTTTTACCGTCAGTCAAAATCCAAATACTACTATAATCAGTAGTAAGTGCAAACTCAAGAGCGCTCCCAATAGCAATAATTTCTGACCTAGAAACTGAACAAAATTCAGGTTTACGGATATAATATTTTATTTCCTCCTTGGAGTTGCTGATGAAAACACCACTCCCAACTCTACCATCTTCAAATCTGTGTAGCCAAGGCTTCAGAAGGGATATTACAGTAGAGAACCGATTATCCGGAACGATCGTGACCATCGCGATTCCGGATAACTGATTTTTCCGGTTTTCTGAATCGCTACAAAATACCGTTTTTTTAATGTTTATAAAACGAAACTAAAAAATTATTTTGAAATAGTTTTGGAAATAATAAAAAATGATAAATAATAATACACTTAAGTTTAAATAAGGAAAGAAATTATGAAATAAAAATTATATACAGGCTTATATATGTTATGAATGTTATTATTAACATTAATAACATATATAAGCTATTTGTGCTAATGTGAGATTCGTCTACAAAGGGCTTTTGATCCGTCCTCTAAATCAGTTCTTTCGTCAAGTCGATATGCCGTGCGCTCTAAATAACAAAATGGGCTCAAAATCTTGCAGGAAAAAAAATTTCTTTTAATGGAAGAAAATTAATTTCCGGTTATCTGGTTTTCCGGTTTTCTGATTTCCGGATAAGAGGTTCTGCACTGTATTAATGACTTCTAGAGTCAACTAGTTTAGGAGTTCAGAATGATCATCCTGCTTACTTGCACGGGATTTCAAATCCTCGTTGAAACTGATGTTCTCAAATTATGCTGTAGGTGACAACTAAAAGTAAACAATGGAATAATTTTAAAATTCATAAAACCATGTTTCTCCCCATGATCAAGTGGTGTATCTCTCTTTAAATGCTTTTCCAATTAAAAATATATTTTTTTAAAATTACGCCCGCCATTGTCTTCTCAGACATAAGGCGTCTTGCAGTCCCATACAATAGTGAAGTAGCTCCAGAAAATGAGAGGGCACGAAAGTCATCACAGGAACGAATGTCAAGAAGAGAGGAGCAATCAAATCGATGCTCCCCAGTCATAAGTGAAGTGTTACAGAGCACACAAAGAGGTGAATTGACCAGGTTAACTTTACAGGGGTCTGTCTAGTTTTTTTTTTTGAGAGATACCTATTTTGTGAAAATGTAGACATAATTTGTGAAAATTAAGAATTATATTAAAAAATCAACACAAAAACATGGTAAAAATATGGATTTTTCGTTTCTTACGGGATGCAAAAATAAAATTTTAAGAAAAAGTATTTTGTGAAACTACCGTTTTTCCTTAAGTTGAATTTGTGAAGGTACCGCTAAACGGTAGTAAATTTGGCCTGGACAGGCACCTGCTTTAAATTGATGGGCCTGCAAGTAGTCATGTCCAGTAATTATTCTAAGACAAGTAGCTCCCTCGGCCCTGGAAAGGAGGGAAAGATGAGAGCGCTGCTGGCCATCAAGAAGGGTAGCCCAGAATTTTCCATCAGCTAAGTCCCTAAGAGCAGATATTGCTCTGTGTCTGAATTTACTCTTAGGAAGCCGCCTTGCATTTCTAAGAGGAACTGGGTGAGAAGGTGGATGTAATGCTGAAGCCTCTCTAGCCAACATGTCAGCCCATTCATTTCCGTAGAGGCCATAATGGCCAGGGATCCATTGGAAGACTACCTCTCTTCCAAAACAAAGAAGAGAGTCGATTCGTTGTTTACACTCAGATTCAAGTTCAGGGGGTATAAATTATATGCAGAAATGGTCTGAATCGCAGCCTGAGAATCGACAAAGATAACAATGTTTTGTTCAGATGGTTCACCAATAGCTGTAATAGCCATAAGGATTGCAAACATTTCTCCATCAAAATTATCTGCCCAAGTGTCAAGAGGTTCTCTAAGGCTGAAATATTTGGAGTAAGCGCTGGCTCCAGCTCTTCCAGTTGAAAAAGTGGCGTATCCATTTCTGACAAGCGTATCTCTCGTGTATAGTGGCCAGAGCAATAGGATACAACTCAGTCTGATGGAAGTCCGATTTCCAGACAGGCTGTACCAAGTCAAATCTAGCAGTGGCATATCTCAAAAGGCCTGTAAAAGCAGGCGGCCTATAGATGCAAAGTTTGGAGTTGGAGACCTCAAAGATCTCTGCAAGTCTCTGGTACTCAAAAAGAAAAGAATGTTGAGATTTAAGTCTAGTTTGAGGAAGAATGTAATATTGCCAAAAGTGCTCCTTTCTCAACAATCTTTCACCAAGAGAAAGGGCAGCATAAGTTCGTCTGTCAGATAAATTATAAATTTCTGTCTGTAGCTGCATGGCAGGAATAGGGGATGAAATAGCAGAACCAGTGATGAGTCTTAGTGCTTTATTTTGAACCAAATTGAGCTTTGATAACTCACTGTCCGAGGCAGTAGCAAGGATTTCTGAACCATAGTCCAATATTGGTTTAATGTAAGAAGAACAATTTAAAATATAGTTAGTAGTCTTATTACAATCACCAGGGCTCATAAAATTATTAAAATATTCAACAGAATTTATCTTAAATATCATAGTTAAAGGTAAAATGTCAACCTTGTAAAGAACCACTTTACTTGGGCAGTTGTCCCCCCTCTAGTCTTGCAGTCAGCCTCATGGTGGCGAGGGGGTGTTCCTGGGCGGAACGGACTAAATATGTTGGGAGTGTATTCTACTGGTAGGGTCATTCAAGTCTTGAACGCCGTTCCATTATGCTCAGCTAATGACTGTATGCAAATTTCGAGGTTTAGTCAGTCTTCAGCTCTCATGGTTTCTCAATCAAATGAAGCAGCATATTACCCTTAGCCATGGACCAGTCAAAATGACCTTGTTTTCTTTGCCTCTACGTTTAAAATGTTTATCTTTGTTTATGTGTCTTAAGGGGTGTTGGTCAGTAAACATGAGTCATCTGCAAATCAAGAACAGAAAGATATTCAGCAAGGTTGCATCTTACACTCATTTTATCCGCTAATACTCTCTTCGTAATCCAGTCAATAGCAATTAAAAAGATTGTTGGAAGGAGTATGCAACCCTGTCCGACACTAAAATCAACCTTGAACGATTCTGATTGTTGGCTGGCATGGATAACTGGTATATTGTAATTTTTATATATATTTCTGATTATGTTTGCAAAACATGTGGGAATTCCATAGTACTTCAGCAGTTTCCTGAGTATTTCTCTGTGCAAACTGTCAAAAGCCTTTTCAAAATCTTTGAAATTTAACCCCTTAACTGCCGCGGGCGTATATATACGTCTCGGCAAGACGATGCATTAACTGCCGCAGGCGTATATATACGCTTTCCCGAAGTACGATGCTTTGCATTGCGTTGCTATAAATAGAACTACACCCCCTACTTCAGAATGCAGTAAAATGGCCTTGAAAGTGTTTGCTTTGCGAATGTATTACTAATTTCGGAGGAGGGGGAATGGAAAAAGGATGTTATGGAAAAGTGATATCGTATTAATCGCTTGTGTGTATTTATTTGAGTAAGGTAGGGTTTATTCTTTTTTCGCTTTCGTTTCCCGTATGTATTTGGTGCTTTTTATTCTTTCCATCAACGTCTTCAAAGAAAAATGCATCGCGAAAATGTGCTGTTTGTTCAAGAAAAAATATTCGTCGTGAATCCCGCTATCAGTGCGATGAATGTGATGTTGGTTTATGTGTCCAACCATGTTTCAGGAGTTATCATACAACAGCTAAGTTTTAACATCTTTTATATAGTATTTTTATTATTTAATTTAAATTTTGTATTTTATTTCCTTCCTTTTTCTTGTAAAAGTAAACTGTTTTTAAATTGCAAAGCGTGCATCATTTTCCCCCACCAAAACACCGTGTAAGAAAGTGCACTTGAGCGAAAAACGGTGGCACTGGGGAGTGAATCACGTTAATTTTACTCGGCAGTTAAGGGGTTAAGTATATTTTTGATTCCCATTCAATAGATTGTTGGACTATTATCCTTAATGTCGCAATGTGGTTGACACATGATCTATTAGCTCTGAAAACTGCTTGCATTGGTCACAGGCTTTTGACAATTTCATTCTTTCCAGCACTATTGTAGTGAAAATTTTGCTACATACATTTAACAAAGTGATTCCTCTCCGGTTGTCACATATCGTCAAATCACCTTTTTTTGGTAGTTTTATCTGTAGACCTCCCACTCCCCCCAGTCATTAGGCTACTCTTCGTTTTTCATGATTTTATTTAACAGGTCAGTTAAAGCTTTGATTGTAGTTTTTAAACTTTCCTTGAAAAGTTCACCAGGTAGGTTATCGCTGCCAGCAGCTTTCCAATGTTTTAGAAATTTTATTGCTTACCTCACCTCAAGCTGAGCTATTGGACCTGTCTCTATGTCTAATTGCCTGGTTGCATCTGCTGTAATGTCTTCCAAAACAGCAGGATTTGGTCTATTTAAGGTTTCCTTAAAATGAACAAACCACCTTTTGGTTTGATCTTCTTTTGATGTAGGTTTTAAACCTTGTTTGTCCTTCTAATTGGCTTTCACAACCAGGATTCATACTAACTGGAAAGGACATATTTGATAAAAGGCTTTCATTCACTTCAGAGAGATGGGTCTGCATGATTTCAGTTTCTGTAACAAGTGGATTCTTACAAGATAGGGTTGTTAACCCTATGCTCAACCCTAACCTGAAGAGTGTTACTCTTAGATGGTGTCTCACCACTGACCTGTCCAGTTTGGGAGGCCCAACCAGTAGCTACGCTACCACCAGCATAGCTTAGTAGGTCCTTGACCCACGCAAGCGAATTCACCAAGACAAAACGCCACCCATTCACCAAACGGCGGGTTAAATTCTAAAAATATTCATTATTTCTAGTTATTTTTTTAAAATTCAAACAGTAATATTAGATATTTTGTTTCATTATTCACTTAATGTATTTATTTATTTTTTTCTGTTGAATTTTAAGGGGGATTGTTTTTACTGAAGATATACAAAAAAGTTTACCTGTCCCATACTACTTATATATATATNATATATATATATATAAAGAAAATTAAAGTCTTTTATCTTTTTAGAAAATCAAAAAAATTAATCCATTATGGTATGAAGACTTTGCTGATTTATACTTAGGTTGTGATACGATTAAAAGTCTTCAGTTACTGAAAATGCAAGGCCGAAAAACAACTTTAGGTTATTATTCTGGAGATGAATTGTTCTTCTGTAAGTATTGTCATTATGTATAAGTTTATGAAAAGTTCAAGATGAACTTATATATAAGTTTAAAATGAAGATAAAACAAAGGAAAATTACAGATTAATGAAAAAAGGGGGGAAAAGAAAATTAATAATGAAAATAACAAAAACTGGGGAGGGGGGAATCCGAAAAAAAGGATAGAATTCTTTTAAAAAATGTAGAAAATAAAAGATATAATCTTTTCATCAGCCTACACGATTATATCCGCAAAAAGAGTGCTTTCCAATATTGTATCAATATAGCCAAAGCAAAATATATCAATACAATAGTGTGAGGAACACCAAAAAAAGGTTTTACAGAAATTAAGACAAATAAAATAGAATACAATAAGTAAAAATAACACATAAAAATAGAAAATAGAATATAAAGAAAAAACAGAATATAACATAATCTATAAAGCGAGTAGCCAAATCAAATGAACTTATATGAACGGGAAATTTTTCATGTATGATTTAAAATATTTTCGTAACATGATTGCCAGATTGCAAAATATGAAAACAAAAGCGCAAATTGAGATAGAGGCATAACTAGAAGAGTTTTGTTTTAGTGTGCATTCTTACTGCATTACGGAAGTGCGTTTGATTTGTTAGTTACCAAGGATGGGCCCGAAAATGGAGGTGCGCAAGGTAATATTATACTGGATAATTTAAAGAAGTTGACTATAAGTAATTTTAGAAAATAAATATTTATTTAAGAAAAAAAATAAAAACATGAATTGCCTGTTTTGCACATAATTTTAGCCACGGATTTGCCCGAAATGGATTTGCGCATGGAAAAATTATCTAAATTAACAAAGAAATCTTTTTAGTAAATAATTTTAGCCACGGATTTGCCCGAAATGGATTTGCGCATGTAAAAAATGTATAAATTAACAACAAAATTTATTAGTAAATAATTTTAGCCACGAATTTGCCCAAAATGGATTTGCACATGGGAAAATTGTGTAAATTAATAAAGAAATTTTTGAGTAAATCATTTTAACCACGGATTTGGCCAAAATGAATTTGCACATGGAAAAATTATACAAATTAACAAAGAAAATTTTAGTAAATACTTTTGGCCATGGATTTACCCGAAATGGATTTGTACATGGGAAAATTATATAAATTAACAAAGAAAAATTTTTGTATATATGTCTACAATAATATACGATTGACTCAATGATTTTATATAGAATTTTATTTCTTTAATTGGGTATCCATTGTTATTTATCAAATTTTGAAAGAGTTTATCGATTTTTTTTTGGATAAATAAATATTCATTCATTTCATTGTAAGTGGTATTTAAATAGATGCTCCTAGAAACATTAGAATTCCAAGTAATAAATGTATTTACATTAAAATTAAAATCATTTCTTTTATCGTATAAATCAACAAAGCAGATATCTTCTTTTATAATACCCAAATCTGAAAAATTGAAATTAATATTATCATCATGATTACAAAGCAAGATTAATTCCTCGGGGTAAATACCATTTAATAAAATAGTATAATCTTGAAAATTAAAGATTATTAAGTCATCAATATATCTGAAAACAAATTTAATGCTAGGAGCATAATTTTTTTCATAATAATGCAGAAATAAGTTAGCTGAGAGAGTTGAATAATTAGATCCTTGTGGTATTCCATCAATTAGAAGAAAAATATCCTTTCCATTGTAAAGATAATTATTAAAAAGACAAAAATTATTCAGAATTTCCCAATAATCAAAATCGTAACAAAGGATATTTTTAAAATCATAGTAATAATTTGAAAGGACATTTTTTAATTTGGAAAGGGGAATGCTATTGTTTAGTTAGATAAGTATTAGATCCACATGTGATAGTTCTAAATTTTACAGGAATTTTATGAAATTTAGGACTGATAATTAAGTAAGGAAATTGTATATTACTAATTTTAATTTTTAGTCTCTTATATAAAGCTAAAATTTTTTTAATGACATTATTATTGAAATTACTAAGTTTAAAATTTTTACTATTTTTTAATTCCATATTTAAAAGTTCAATATAGAATTTTTTACAGAAGATTGCATCATTATTGTTAGCTTTGTCTATGGGAGTAATTACAAAATTTTTTTGAAGTTGCTTAATTTATTGAACAATATTAGAAAAATTTGTTGAATTGTTATTGTTATTTAAATTATCCTTATTATTGAAAACAAAGTTTTTAAAGTAAGTATTTTAGAATTTTATTGATTGATATATGGTAAATGGGTCTAAATTTTGTGCCTTTTATCATCAAATTCCTAAGTTCTAAGTTTTCTATAATATTTAAATCACCAGTAATAATATGTTTATGATGTTTATCAACAAAATCAAAATATTTCTCTTCCTCACAGTGACATTCAAAATCGAATATATTAATCCGCCCTAAATTTTTGCTTATATCATAATTAAATATAGTTCTACCGAGAGATTTATTATATTTAAAGCTTTTAATTATGTTAAAATCTTTTAATGGAAATAAAGTTTTAAAATTTTCAAAAATATTATGGAATTTGATCTTATCGAAAATAGGATTTTGAAAGTTAATAACGAAATATAAATTATCTAAATTTTTCTGTTTAGTTGGCGAAATTTTACTCATTTTGGCTTTTATAAAATCGAAGCAAAGAATTTTGAAATGTAAATTAATAAAAGAAAAGTTAATAATTAGATCGTAGAACTTATATACATCATAATTCTTAAGGGAGAAAACAAAATCTTTAATTGTTTTAATATTATAATGTTTATTAAAATCTTTTTCCATATTAGAAAGAAAATTTATATTTAATTTGTCACTATTAAGAGAGTTTCTATTACTACTTGATCCCCGTTTACCTCGATTTTTACCCTTATCTTTAATATGAAAAAGTGAATAAGTTGAGGAGTTATTAAAGTTAATCTGTGTATGTTGGAAGGTATCGTTTAGCCCATATGGCAAAATTGTTTTGTATAAAAGCATGTAGTAGTTTTCTTTTTGTAGTCTTAAATCTAAATCTTCTACAATATCTAGAATATTAATTTTGACACTGTTATTTATGTACTCTAAAATGATTCAATTCCAGGTTATTGATAGTTTTATTACTGCTTATATCTGAACGGTGTTGATTAATTCGAATATTAAGTGAGTTACTGGTTTGTCCAACTTATTTCATATTACAGAAACAACAGGTTAAGATATAAATGAAATTTTTAATTTTACAAAAAGATTTGAAGCTATCGTTATAAAGAAATATTTTTTACCAGGCGGTAAATTGTTATAATTGTTTATATCCATAAAAATTGGCTCATAGAGCAACGTCCTAAAGACATGAAATTGGAAAAAAGAAATCAAGACGAAAACAGAAGGAAAACGAAAGAAAGTTCATCGTAGATAATATTAAGCACTAAAGCTGCATTAAATATAATCACTAATACATAACATAATAAATAAATACAAAAAAATACGAAGAAAATTAAGAAAAACAATAAGTTTCACTTATTGTGCATAAGCTGCAAGTTAATAGATCTCATAAAATAAGTTCAAAATGAAGATAAAACAAAGGAAAATTACAGATGAATAAAAAAAGGGGGAAAAGAAATTTAATAATGAAAATAACAAAACCNACCCGGGGGGGGGGGGGGGGAATCCGAAGAAAAGGACAGAATTCTTTTAAAAAATCTGGAAAATAAAATATATAATCTTTTCGTCAACCCACACAATTATATCCACAAAAAAGAGTGCTTTCTAATATTGTATCAAAAATAGGAAATAAAATATAAAGAAAACACAGAATAAAACATAATCTATAAAGCGAGTAGCGAAATCAAATGAACTTACATGAGCGGGAAATTTTTCAACAATGATTTAAAATATTTTCGTAACATGATTATTTACTAAAAAGTTCCTTTACTAAAAAACTCCTTTGTTAATTTATATAATTTTTCCATGTGCAAATCCATTTCGGGCAAATCCATGGCTAAAATTATTTACTAAATAATTTCTTTATTAATTTATAAAATTTTTCCATGAGCAAATTCATTTTGGGCAAATCTGTGACTAAAATTATTTACTAAAAAAAATTTTTCTTTGTTAATTTATACAATTTTTCCATGTGCAAATCTATTTCGGGCAAATTCGTGGCTAAAATTATTTATTAAAAAGATTTCTTTGTTAATTTATATAATTTTTCCATGTGCAAATCCATTTCTAAAATTTAGTGCAAAACAGGCAATCCATGTTTCTTTCTCTTTTCTATTTTCTATATTTTTTTTCTTAAATAAATATTTATTTTCTAAAATCCATTTGCCCGAATAGTCAACTTTAAATTATTCAGTATAATATTACCTTGAGGACATCCATTTTCGGGCCCATCCTTGGTAACTAACAAATCAAACGCACTTCAGTAATGCAGTAAGAACGCACTTTAAAACAAAACTCTTCTAGTTACGCCTCTATCTCAATATGCGCTTTTGTTTTCATATCTTGCAATCTGGCAATCATGTTACAAAATTATTCTGTGTTTTCTTTATATTTTATTTTCTATTTTTACGTGTTATTTTTTACTTATTGTATTCTATTTTATTTTTTGTAATTTTTGAAAAAAAAATTTTTTGAGTGCTCCTCACACTATTATGTTGATATATTTTGCTTTGGCTATATTGATACAATATAAGGAAGCACTCTTTTTTGCGGATATAATCGTGTGGGCAGATGAAAAGATTATATATTTAATTTTCTGGATTTTTTAAAGGAATTATATCCTTTTTTTTTCGGATTCCCCCCCCCCAGTTTTTGTTATTTTTATTATTAATTTTCTTCCCCCCACTTTTCATTAATCTGTAATTTTCCTTTGTTTTATCTTCATTTTAAACTTATTTTATGAGTTCTATTTACTTGCAGCTTATCCATCAATAAATGAAACTTATTGTTTTTCTTAATTTTCTTCATGTTTTTTCCTATTTATTTATTATGTTATATANTTTAGAGCAAAAAAACGTTTTTTCAAAACATTTTATTTCCGTTTCAAGTGGTAGTCTCGAATTAGTTAAAAAAAAAAAACATTAATATTTGGGTTGTTTTTAACGTAAAAATGACCGCTTTTTGCCTTTATTTTGACTAAGGTGAATTTCGTAACCAATTTTTCACGTTTTTTTAACCAAGCAGGTTTATTTTTTTACGTATTTTTTTTCAACAAACTATTTACGTTTATTTTTGGTTCTATAAATTCGTTTTTTTCACCATGAATATTTACGTGTTTTTAACGCTTATTTTTATTAAAATAACGTACATTTTACGTTATTTTAACCAAAATACAAACGTATTTTATCCATGCAATTTACGTATTATTGTCAGTATTTTTAACGCTTATTTTGAGTTATGTGACTTAATAAATGTTTCGCGTAAATTTAACTAAATTAATTTCACTTTAACATAATTTTAACCAAATTGTTAACAATAACATATTTTAAGTTTTTTATTTTTTTTTTTAACTAAGAAGGAAAGATACTATTACGTATTTTAATGTTTACGCTGCACTAATTACACTAAAAAAGATAGCATTTACTTTTTACTTAAAAAAAACTTCTAATTCTTTTCAGACTAAAACAACGGAAAATAGCCGATATTCATGCTTTTTTTTTTAAGAATCCTAGAAAAAGCCTTTCGTTTTTAATTTCACACTTTTTGTAAATTTTTACAATTCAATTTATTACTCAACGAATATGGAGTGCAAATCTTTCTACCTCTTCACAGCAACATACTGGTTTATTTACAAAGTTTCATGTCTCTCAGGAATTTTTTTAATTTTTGGTGCCGAAAAGTTTGTAATATAAAGAATTGGTAGAAGAAAATATTACTCAATACTTACATGATTTTCCAAACCCCTATGGAAAAAACATTTTTTTTTTTTAGTTCAAATTAATAATTAAGAAGTCTACTGCTCTCCTTAAGTCCATGTTTCCAATTGCTTTCTTGAAATTATCTACTCTTCTAGAATGCTTTTGGGTTCATTATTTCTTTTTAAAAATGCGTATTTTTTAGTTTTTAGCTTGAAAAATTTTACTAAAATTTACTTTAACACACACACAAAGTAAAAATATATATATATATATTACCCAAATTTACCATTTGATTTGTTTACTTACAAAAATTACAATTTTTCTAAGTCGTATGTTCGTAAAATTACAATTTTTAATCCAGAAGAGCAATTAACTTAATAACTTTAAATACAGAAAAACATTACATCAAATAAGATTTATTAAGTTTTATTTATTTTACAACTATCATACAATATATTTACAATATATAGATTTACAATTATAACACATCACCACAGATCTGAAACATGTATTCATGACTTCTTCCACCCAACTGTTAGTATCACCTCTTCACTGCAATGTTCCTGGAAAACAAATAACTATTTTTAGCATATGAAAAAAAATATACCGGGCAATAATATTAAATTGTTACAACCAACAGTAGATTTCTAAAACGAAGCTATACTGACTAGATAAAATACAGAGTTAAATAAAAAAATTTTAAAAAAATATTTAAACTGTTTATTTTTTTCAGGGAATTTCTACTAAGTATATATTGATTGAGTACATCCAAATATTTAGATATAAGAAAATCTATTTTACAAATTTTGGTCACATATTACATGACAAAATTACATACATATACAGCACAAATCTGAATTCGAATATTTCATAAATTTCTTTTCATCCTAGCTAAATCTTACATTGAAGCCAACAGTAAGTTATAAACAAAACATACAATTATTTTTCGTGTGGCTTTGAGGAGAACTCCTCCAGACTTTTAGTCCGGAGCTGTCGGCTGCTATGGTAACAAGTGATAGCACATTTCTAATGGGGGAACAATGGAGGAATAAAGGTGTCAATTGGTTTACCCACGCTGACCTAAAATCAAAACAAAACTATTAACAAAACACCCCTATTTGAAATGACTTTTTCTCATAACCGCAGTACTTGCCACAACATGTGCCTGTTGTCAGGTGAAGTTCTCCTAAAAGCTGCCCCATACTTGCTGTTTATTTACCTATCATCAGAATTTTATTTTCCTCTCTCATTTTTTCTTGCTCCTTAGCTGCATTCCTCTTCAGAATATTTTGCAAGAACTTTGTAGTTCAGAAACACAATTCAATTAGTTTCAGTTACGTAATTTTTAATTTCTCATTTATTGAAACAGTAAAAATACTATGCCTTTTAACACTAACAGTATCTTTAATATACAAAAGGAGTAATTTTAACAAATTCAGTAATTTGCTAAACTATATATTATTTAGTTCAAGTGAAGAAATACATTTTACAATTGCCTCTGTTAAAGCTTTTTTAAACAAAAAATGGTTAATTTGAAAATTCTTTAATTTCTGGAAAATCACTGCTAAAACGTAACACTTTACTCCCAAATACAGTAGAAAGCTGTTTGGAGATTTAGAAATTCATTTCCACAATGGAATTCTTAGTATTAACTTCCAGTGTGGGAAAAATAGGTTTTGTGTTCCTTGACCCTAGTGTGTTACTATCAGGTTGCTTGGGGGCAGTAAATACTTAATTTGTTTAAACCATTTTAAAAGGACTGGATGAAAAAATTTCAACAAAAAAAAACTTCACACACAAAACACAGTTTTTGGAGAAATATTTTAATAAATATTTCTTCGAAAAATGTGATTAAATGAAAGGAACACAATGGTGTTAGTTAATTGTTGCAACATGACAGAATGTTTTGAGTAATGTAGTATAACAATTTTGGACTATAGAAACAATTCGGAGGAACAGCTTTAAACTTAAAATTGTTTTAAAAAATCATAATTTTATTCTTGGAACTAATTAGAAATTATTTTTAATGCTGCATATATATATATGAGCAAAACAAAATTACCAACTTTCCACACCCTTGCAAAAAAATAAAATAAAAGATTATTTTGAACAAGTATAGAGCAGATTTATCAAAATTTTTTTAACTTATTTAAAGATGTGAAAACAAATATATATTTTTTTGTCAAACTGTTATTCATATAGTTTGTAGTAGTGATAATTTCCATTGCATGGACTACTTAACTTACAAGATATATAAGTTTTCTGCAATATTAGACATTTAACGTAAATTTTACTTAATAGTTTTTGTTATAAAAAAAAGTTGGAACATAAGTATGCTAAATGTATATAGTAAAATGCAAGAAAATATAATAAATTAATGAAAACTAGTCAGACTAACTCTTTTAGAAAAAAGTAAGCATTTTTTGCAACCTTGATATACACATTGAATCGTGTCTTAAAACATTTTAATCATTAATACTTTAACACGAAATAATAAACACAAAAACATTCACTTGGAAAAATAAGATATTTAAATAAAAGATATTTTCAAACAGTACGAAATCAAAAAATTTTTCATTGAATGTAAGCATAATAATATAGTGCAGAAGTTATTGAAAAAAAAAACTTTATAAAAATAAAGTGATAATATCATAGACAGATATATTATATAAATAGAAAATATTATAGGTGTAGTCATAGATATAAAATCATTGATTAACGTTAACAATATTGAAAGTTCAATTTCTAATATGCGGAATTGTAGAAAACTGCAGATGTACACAAAAAAATAAATATAAACATATATACAATTGGCTTTTTTTAATTAAAACAAGGATAATTTGAAATCTTGTGGCAGAATGTTTTTGAGCTATCTGTGACTAAACTCTCCAGCACTAATATCTAATTGCAAAATACTTTTAATACAAACAAACACATATGTTACTAATTTAAAATGGCAAACACGCTGTGTTAACAAAAAAATAATAATAATGATTTTCTTAATTTAACATGAAATTTTTTTTTTAATATTATGGGTGATATTCTCACATTTTCTTGGTGGGAAAACACACACTTTATTTGCTTCTTCGCATTTTGTAAATAATCATCACAATAAAAAAATATTGAATATCATGAAATCCGTAGTAGTAATTCCCCCCCCCCCAAAAAAAAATATATGATGTAATCACGTAAATTGGACTCCTCAATAGCGTGTTACACTTTGAAATTAGGTTGTAATAAATAATATGGTATAAAAAATATCGGATTTAAAAACTAAGGAAAAATCAACATCTATAACTTCCAAAAATTAAATAGAATTTTTAAAAAAAAATAGATAGCCTTAAAAAATAGATACTCAAATGCACAATTCGAGTTTTCCATATTGTTTAAATATCTCAAGATGGTTAAAAACCAAATGAAAATCAATATCAATAACTGCCGAAAATACTATCGAAACATCATGTCGATTTAGGATACTATCGGTGAAAATTGAGCGTGCCAAAAACTTATTATCCAAATGCATGATTCAAATATTGCATGTTCAAATATTTCTTTAAAAAAGAAAAGTAATATTTTCTTCTTTTCAAGAGAAAAATCTTTCTGCAGGAACTCTGTAAAATTCTGCAACAATGTCGCCGTGACGCTGTGATTCTGCCACGGAGGTTTGAAATACTGAGCAATTTGTATAAATCTTAATTCCCCAAGAATTTCCAATTGATGTTGTTTATTCATTTTGTAATTCATTTGAATGTTTGCCAAATGTTTGGTTTGAGTTACCTCAGCCTTTGAGTGATTCATCAATCTGTATGATCGCTGAAGAATTCATAAAAGCAAAATAGAAGTTTCAGAATTTGTTTGAACTTATCGAGAACTATGAATAAAAAGACTAATTTAATGCAGATAAGACACATATTTTTTAAGTGCCAGTGAGATTAAACATTGGAACAGCAAAAATAGTGGAGGTAAAAACTGTAACAGTTTACCATTCTACTTGATACTAACGATGAAACTTACACCAGAAACTTTTATTATAGACTAGTTGAATAGTGCAAATGCTGATGATTGTGCATCAAATAATTAGGATTCTACAGTATATATTTGCAATGGAAAATATATTTACATATATGATAATTCATTTTCAGAGACAAGTTTTTGAGTACTTTTATTTGTTGTTATTGAAGCATGGGCAGCCTATGTAAACAATTTTAATTACTGTTTTTAATATCAACAAAAATAATCTGAAATAATTTTTAACAGTTGATTTCTTCATGTTTATAATTTCATGAATTTTTTTTAACCTATTTTTAAGTACAAGAAAAAAGGAAACAATTCAAATACAGTTATTTCTTTAGACATACCTAATTCAGGTACCTTTAAATGAGACTTGATGGAGCTTCTTTCTCAAAGCTAGATCTTTTCCAAAGATCTTCCTCAGAAGTACATCAATAGATTATGAAAAAGAAAATTCATTCAGTTAATACGATTAAAAACATAGAAATTATTCAAACCTGCTTTGTTTATACAGGCACATTTATTATTCAGAACTGGAGAGGTAAGGAGTAATGGTTTGACAGAATGTTAGCTAAAAAAAATGGTGAAATGCAGAATATATTTTTATAGCAATATTTTTTTTTAAAAAAAATTCATTAATAAATATTTTTTATGAATACATAAGTTTATTTATAATTGGAAATTACTCCATGCATATCTATATTAGTGGAATGGGCTAAGGAGAAAACAAAAAATTAAACAAGAAATACTTGTAAAAAAAACTAAAGTTATAAAGTAAAACAGAAAGAGAAAAAAAAATTATTATAATTGTTACAACAAAACTTCTATGCTAAGAATAATATTTTCTGCAAAGCAGTATCCATAAAGCAGCATTAACTAAAATATAATCTATTAGAAATATATTATTAAAATGCTGTGTTATCTTAAAAACACTAAAAAAAACAAAAGATTATATACAAATGTAAAACAAAAAAATCTATTTCAATTCTCAAAATAAAATTTTAAAGCTTTACGTCTCAGCTTTCCAATTATCATATTTTCCAGATAAGAATAAAGTCAATAGAAACATTCTTAATTACTGTGTCATACAGTTAATAAAAACAAAATTTTTCAGAAATATAAAAAGCTAGATAAAAACCAAGACAAAAATTGTTTAAAAGAAAAATTTAGCAATAAAAATTTCAATTGAATTTTTTCACCTAGCAGAGGTCTATCTAGGTTTTTCTGAGAGATACCTATTTTGTGAAAATTTAGACATAATTTGTAAAAAATTAAAAACTATATTAAAAAAACAACGCAAAAACATGGATTTATTGTTTCTTAAGGAATACAAAAATAAAATTATAAGAAAAAGTATTTTGTGAAACTACTGTTTTTCCTTAAGTTGAATTTGTGAAGGTACTGCTAAACGGTATTAAATTCGGCGTAGACAGACCCCTGCCTAAGGCATATTTTTAGAATACAGTGACTATAAAAAAATAAAAAAGTTTTAAACAGCAATGTAAATTGAAATAAAAGCTTGAATAAGAATAATTCCAAAGATAATTTAATATTGAAAAGTACTGCAATTATTTTCCATATCGTTTTAACTGATAAATTTCAAAAACTGTTTCAAAAATAAGAAAAAAAATTTCCAGTAAATGTTCAACTGGATGTTTTTTTTTTAAAGATATCATGTTGCAAAATAAATAGTCAAAAAACTATTTTGTCCATGTGAGATTTTCTCTTGCAAAAGCTTGTTAAGATGATACTTCCACGACATTTTGGCTGAAGAACCATCTGCTATAGACTCTTGTAAAATTTACACCAATCAAGTGTGTTTAACCCTTGGTTCTTTAAAAAGGTAAAGTTAAAAGAAACTGCCATGAATCACAACTGCCACTACTCAACTTTTTTAAAAATGCAACAACTAATAGTTTTTATACTTTATAAGACAATAGTAGGTAAGTAGATAAGACAGCTCAAATTAATAACAATATGATAGGACTGTTTCACACATAAAACTTGTCTCGTCTCATTTGCCAATAAAAATGCCATCTCGTACTGAGTAGGCAAAACAGTAAGAAAAATGTGCGTATCATGATCTGCCGGTGAATAATCACTATATCTTCTATGCAACTTCCATGCAGCAACCAGGAGGAACTAAAAAAAATTAACGGACTAAAATTAACTTTTTAAAAAATTCTTTCAAAAAGTTAGCAGTTGGAAATCTATTTGGTGCCTAGGCGATAGCAGTTGGCATAACTGCTCACTATACAGAAGTAACCGTAATAGGGAATTAAAAGTTAAATGAGTATTTCTATGTTGTTACCTATGGCTAAATATTCATAAACTTCCAGCGGTCCACGAAAAATTAAGAAAATATCTCAAAATGGGAGTAACTCAAAGAATATAAGTTGTAGTAACTCTCAGGAAAACTTCTACATACTTCTTTTTAAATTTTTGCAAAGTACAAAATCTTTTTTTTTTTTTTGCTTTAACATTTTTAGTTGGCACAATCTAGTTCAAATAGGGAAACATCCCCTTTTATTTGATTCATAAAATCAGGGGAGATCTCTATAAAATGAACAATGGCAGAATAATCAGCACGTCTTGACAGCTTCTGGTATCAGAGAAACTGAAAGAAAGAAAAAAAATTACAGAAAGGGACCACCTCAAAAGATATAACTCGTAACCATTTGGCAAACATTCATGTTTTTTTTTTGTTTTTTTTTTAAATTTCAAGTTTATATCTATTTGGTAGCTTGGCTATTGTAGTTAGTGCGACAGATTAAGATACTGAAATATCCCCTAAAATTAGTGAAACAGTAAAATTTACATTATAAATCTAGCTAAAATTCTTTTCTACTTCGGAAAATTTGTTTATCATCACCTGTGGCAGAATAATCAAGTCTTGGTAACAAGGCCGGATTAACCATTAAGCACACTAAGCACGTGCTTAGGGCACCAGAAGATTGAGGGGCACCACAAAGCCTAACTAAATGTTCGCAGTACATATTTTATTTATTTATTTTTTTTGTTGAAACATTGATAATAAATTTATTATTTTGAGCTTCCTTTTTAAGAGTAGATAACAACCATTTCTAAGTATGAAATTTCACATAATAAAAGAAGGAAAAAAACGAAAGATGTTTTGTATCAAAAATTTTCGGTCTTATAATGAAATTAGGTAGTGAATTTCTATGCGATAAAAGCTCTATTTATTTATCCATTACAATGATTCCATAACATACTGCTACGATTCATGTTTACAGAATATTTTTCACAGTTGTAGCAAGTTAATACTCCGGCAATTTGATATTTTCATCAAAAAAAAAAATTTGATTTACAAAATTTTGATGCAATGGTTTGATGATGTAAAAAATTTGATTTTTGATGCGAAAAAAAAATCTATGTTGTGCATGTTTCTGTTTATACTACATAAAATATTTTCTTATACTATATTTTTAATTATATTCTCATGGCAACTGGAAAAGAAGTCATCAAATTACGTAAAGGTTGTGTTGCAAAAATTTTCGTCAAATAATTTTTTTTATTCACTAAATTAAGAAAAAGGAGCTGTGTTTAAGTATCATTTTTCGAAATTTCTTTGTGGAAGAGAGGTTAAATTTGCGAAAAGTATGACCACACACTTCGCATCACTTATAATTTTTTTTATCTATATATATCGAAATTAGATTTTAAGATTTAAAATATATACTACGTAATATGAATGCAAGCAGCTAGTTTTTGAATAAGGAAAGAATTATAGGTTCCTTTGTCCTTAGAGTCTTGTATAAATACAAATGTTATAAAAGTTGAGCACAAAAGATGTGTGAATTCTCAATGTGAACCGGATGTTCGTTGACGCTGAAAAATACGTTAAGAAGAATACCCATTAAAACTAATTTAATTTNTTCCCTGTCAAAAATATTTTTTTAAAATTATTTATTATTAATAGTCGGAATAATTTTGAATTCAAAAATATACAAATTGTTGCATAATTTTAAAGAATATTAGTTTAAATAGTAAAATACAAAATTTGAACAAAATCTGTCGAAAGGTTCTTGAGAAATTAAATGTTAAATATATAACTTTTTTAAAATTGAAAGGTTTATTTGATTGATTTAGTACAGATTAAATTTTGTCATTTAAAATGACATTTTTTAAATTTTCAATTTAAAGTTCTTTCGACTATTCTCTTAATATATAAAATGATTAATACTTCTTACAAATTATTTTTGACAAGGAACTATTTTTAGGTAAATGAATTTTTTTATTATGGTGTGCTAAAATTTTTTAGTTCGTTTGAAAAATTCTCGAGATATGATCATTAATTTCGAGAGTCAAGAATTCGAATCAATTGAAAAAAAAGGTATGCTTTTTTTAGAAAAAGTACGTGTCTGTTTTTCTAATTTAAAGTATTTTGAGTCTTAGTAAATAAAAGTTCATACTTTCGATCATAAGTTATTCAAAGTGTTTGCTTTTTTGCACATACCCACAAACATAAGTTATTTGTTTAATATTAATTGAAAAGTTTTCAATTGATTATAATATTTTTAAAAAAAATTGATTTAATTTGAATAAATATTTTTTTTTACAAAAAAAAATTTGATTTTATATTTTGAATTAACACGTGACTTAGTACTAGATATATTTTTTATTGTTAGAGGGGGGAGGGCACCAAAATATTTTCAGTGCTTAGGGCCTCAAGAGGTCTTAATCCGGCCCTGCCTGGTAACTTCCAGTGGCTATCATCACACTGAAAAAAAAACATGGGAAGAAACTCAAAGGGTATATCTTGTAGCCACTACCCCCTGGAAAACCTCTACAGGTTTTCTTTTTTAAATGTATGCAAGTTTGAAATCCACAATAGTAGGTGCAACACATCACAGAAGGAAAATATCCCCTCTACTCATATTTTGACGTGTAAAGTCAACCATGATATATTTAAGTATTATCTTCAGAATAATGCTTATAATTGTTACTTTTTGTTAATTGTTATTTATTATAGCAACAAAATTTGCCAGGTGAATAAAATAATGCAGCATTAATTTAATAATTAAAGCTTTAAAACGGAAATTTTCTTTACATAAGATCGCAACTAGTTNTTTAACTCAGTATTTCAGATTAATATTCCTTGATTAAGCTTAGGTACCATCAGAAAACTTTCCAAAAATTCATGATTTTATTAAAAATATCTTAACTGCATAACAATCGTATATAACGGGTCTGTATTTCGTCTCTTTACATTAAGCACAGTAAATGAGATTCAACAAATTCTCTTGCTTTTTTCCAAAATCGTTACGTTTTGTCATAGTTTGTTAAACTTCGCAAATGATAGGCTTATAATATTTGTGTTTATTTCAAGCAGAATTAACTACAATAATCATTTACTTTCTTTGATAGTGAAGTATTATAATGAATTAACATGCTAAATAGTAATAATTAAAGTAAGGAATAAAAGAACTTACCATTGAATTCGGCGTATGTAAGTACACAATCTGCAAACACGTGTGCAACAGATTATAAATAAAAGCTAACTAGCGTCGTCTAGTGTAGGGGTAGCAATCCTTGTGTTGAAGTTGTGAAAAGTTGAAACTCAGTATCGTTTAATCCACTTCTAAAACGAAAACTCAAATAACTGAAAGCAATGTGGAACATTACTTTTGAACCTATATTGTGAATCAATTTTTTCTCATCTATTTTTGATTTTTCTTATTATTAATCTAATTGAACCTGGAATAAAATGCTACATTGTAGAATAACTTTCATATAATATTTTTAAAAAAGTTAAATAAAACTGTCAAGCCTTTTTTAAAAAATTATTACTATTTTATCTCGTGACTTAAAGAAAAATGGAATTATATTGTTATGTTGTGTTATTTTCATTCATATAATAGTATTTTATTTTCATATAATAGTATTTTATTTTCATAAATAGTATTTTATTTTAACTAGTATAATA